AAGTTATAGGGCTTTAAAGAACAAGAATAAGATGTAATCATATTACGATACGATACTATTGGTCAATTAAAATTGAACAAATCACGTGATTGTCGAGTATAGACGTCCTGCACCATAGATTGGTTAACTTCGCCAATCTTTGAAATTTAATTGGACTAATTTCTTCCTCTGTATATGCATCTCACGTCGCAGGTTCTCACTCTACTGCTCAGGTTCGCAGTTTTATCCCTTTTGTACCTGGGGTACACCGTATGTTGGTCGATATTAAACGTACAATTCCTATCTTAATCTATTGCCCCGTTCCAATCTTTCCTCCTTACTTCATTTAATTTATTTAAATTTTCTTCTGGAACATTTTTTTCAACAAGTTTATCAATTTCTTTCTCACCCCGTAGGCAATTAACTTGTGCTCGGAATTTTTCTCAAATTTGAAAACGAAAATACGGACGCTGTTAAATGTATAACAAACAATCCTTTGCACCACTCTATATTACATACGACTGTTCGCAACAACCCACGAAAAAAGTCCTCTGACGATACAGTTTATCGACCACGAACAGACAAAGAGTTCAAAAACACGTTACACTTTGACGCTTTTTTCCTCTGACGCGTAAACACAACAAAAAAGTTCTAACAACGATACGTTTATCGACCGTATAAGCGATGAATAAGTTCAAACACACGTCTATCATACGTACATTTCTCTCTATTGCTTAACAACAACGTCTCCTCCCAAAGCGCAAACACGAAAAACAACTCTTTGCCGCTACTTCATACGGCACGACAGTTCTCTAAAACCCACGAACAAGTCTTCTAACAACGACACGGCTATCGACCACCACACAACTACTTGTTTATATAAAATACAACAATCTTTTACGGCGGGTAAATGATATAATCATGAAATAGTCATCCATCGAATTAACCAATACAAAAAGGCGAGGCTTCCGAAGTGTCGTCTCAATCAGAAAAAAAAAACTTCGGGTAATACTGCAGAGTCAGTTGAAACTAGCGATAATTATGGCTCACTAGAGATCGATTCTAACTACGAAATATCCTGTTCTGGCCGTACGGCTGCAAAAGAAATCGAAGAAGCGGAGCTTCGAGTCTTCGACTCATCTAGTAATAACGTAACACAAGCTCCTCCAGTAGATATCCTATCTGTCCCCAACAAATATGGTTATCTCCAGAATACATACCTCGTGAGGAGCGGGAAAAACGTCTCAGACAATGGGCCATCGATTATGGTGAGGACCCCGATAAATTTATGACAATATACCGAGATAGAATAATGTCCGATGCAGATATAATAGACTTTGCACGAGATCAAAACCTCGATCCAGAAGAATTGATGGATATGTCCAGACGTGAGCGGTTGATAAGTGAAGATATATATCTACGTGAATGGGAGGACGAGGGTATCCCTCGATCATATGTCTATAATGGGTAAAAAATATAGCGATACTCTAAGGGATGCATTTTCTGTGGTACCACTCACGTGCATTGTAACGCACCTGCATATTGATAAAAAAGGAGTCGCGTAGCAGATGATAATTTGACGACACAACATTCTTTCTTATCGAAGAGTTTAAGCCCTTGATTGTTGATGTTAGCGATTTGATAACGACTTATACTGGATAATTGTTACCGTCGCCATGCAAAACTGTGAGATTGTTGAATGTTACACAATAACTTACTGTGGCTCGTGAAAGATTTGGTTCTTGTTGGCCAAATAAAGTAGAATATTATACAAGTTACAAAATAGAACAATTAGCACGATTACCTGATTCATTGTTACTGTTAATAGACTAGTTATTTTTCACTATCCAATCAATTGCTTTGCTCCTTTATCATGTGACATATTTTGATAATAATAATAATTCTGTTGTCTCGCGTGGATTGCAAGTCCGCCATCGCTAATACTGTTATAGGCTGCTTTAGTACGAACCTTTCGAACGTTAATGCCAGCTGTTGCCTCTCCTTTAGCGTGTCGATT